TTCATTTCTTTTCGTTCTCGTTCATTTTCTTTTTCATTTCATTCTTTTTTACATTTTTTTTCTTTTTCTTTCTTTCTCTTTCTTCTAATTTTTTTTTTTCTTTTTCCTCTTCTTTCTTCTTTCTTCTTTTTTTTTCATTTTCTCATTTTCATCTAATTATTCTTTCATCTTTTCTCCCTTTTTCTCTTTCTTTTCTCTTCTTCTCTTTTTTTTTTTCCTCCTTTTTCTTTTTTCTTTCTTTTCTTTCTCTTTCTTTTAATTTTTTCTTTTCTTTCGTTCTTTGTTCATTCCTTCTATTCCTCTTTTTCTCTATCTTCACTTTTTCTTTCTTCTTGTCTCCCTTTTTTTCTTTCTTTTCTTCCATTCTTTTTTCTTTTCTATCTCTACTCTTCTTTTTGATTTTTTGTTCTTCTTCTCTCATTCTTCCTCCTTTTTTTTCTTTATCTTTTCTTTCTTTTTTCTTTTCTTTTTTCTTCTTTTCTTTCGCTCTTTCTTTTCTTTTTCTCTTTCTTTCTCTGTCATTCTTTTTTTTTTCTTTTCTTTCTTCGTTCTTTGTTTTTCTTCTTGTTTTTATTCTTTCATCTTTCCTCTTTCATTTTCTCCTTCTTCTTTTTTCTTTTTTTTCTCTCTTTCTCTCTTTTTTCTTCATTTTTTCTCTCATCTTTTCTTTTGTTTCATTCTCTATTCTTCTTTCTGTCTCTCTACTTTTATTTTTGTTATTCTTCTGTTTGATTTTTTTCTTATTCTTCTCGTCATTTTTTTTTTTCTTTCTTTCTTTCTTTTCTTCTTTTGTTCTTTTTTTCTTTTCATCTTCATTCTTCTTTTCTCTTCTCTTATTCTTCTTCTCTTTCTCTTTCTTTTTTCTGTCTTTCTCTCTTAATGTTTTTTTCTTCATTTCTTTTCTTTTCTTTTCTCTCTCTTTATTTTCTCTCTCTTTCAATCAATTCTTTTTTTTTCTTTTTTTTTCTTTTCTTTTTTTCGTCTTTCATTCTTCTTCTTCTTATTTGTCCTCCTTTCGTCCCTTTGTTTACTTTCTATCTTTATTCTCTTTTTTCTTTTTGTTTTTCTTCTTTTTTTTCTTTTTTCTCTTTCCTTTTTGTCTTATCATTTTTTTATTTTTTTTCTTTTTTTCTTCTTCTTCTTCATTCTTTTCTCTTTTTTCTCTTCTCCTTTTTCTTTTCTATTCTCTTTCACTTTCTTCTCTCTTTTTTCTGTCTTTTCTCTCTTCTTTTGTCTTCTTTATCTTTCACTTCTTTCCACACGACGCTTCAAGCAAACAAAGCAAGGAAAGCAACAAGCAAATTTCACTCTTCAACTATTCAAGCAAACCAACAACGAAATGGAAATGCATGGAAATCACGTAGAACTGTTATATTTAAACCCAAAAATGTTAAACAAATATCAAATATTGTAAAAATATTGAAGGTGAATATTGAAATATTTCACCTTCAAGTTTCGCCCTCTTCAATCGTTGCAAGAAACGCAACAGAAATGCATGGCTAATATAAATCACTGAACTGTATATTAACCAATGTTAATATCAAATACAAAATATGTAAAATATTGAAAAGTCGGCTTAGGAACCTTCGGTTGATCGTGACTATAATAAATAAATTAAAAATGCAATGACGACTGTAACTCCAATTCATGCAGGGAACACAAGTAACCCAACCCCAAAACACTCATCCAATCTGTTCACTCCTTTCAACGTCAACTCCACGTTCCAGCCGCAGGGGTGTCAAGAATCGAGTTATTTGCGCTTTTCCCTTGTGTTTTGTGAGAGTGCGATACCCGTTTCTGATGTAGACGATATGAAGCTACAACTTCACTCTTCCCTTTGCCTAGGCAGACGTGCAGGATCGTTGCCTTCCAGTTCGCTGACTGAAGGAAGGGCAGTAGTCCATGAATAAGAATGGTTGAAAGTAGATAAATGATTGCAGATGATATATTTCAGATAGGGACAAGTGCGTTAGTATGACAGCAAATTCGTGTACAGTTGAAATCACCCTTGTTTTACCCGGTCGGATGGATCCCACGGACTTTTGAATCCGCCCTTCGCTGCTATCAACGCTCCGCTTCAACACAGCAACTCTATGTTTTCATCACCCGAACGCCGTGGTTTCAGACAAAACAGCACCGACCGTACCCGAAACTTGCGTCCTAAACAGCACCGACAATTCTGATTACAAGACTTCTGCAGACTGGGTAAAGAACATGTGTCCTGTGAACATACTAACAAGTAAATCTAATATGAGACTTAGAAATTACCAAGAAATTATGATATTAGAAAAATACAATATTGTGCATCCAATTTTAGGGACCAAATCCAATTCTTCTTGTAATTAGAAAAACTTGAGAATCGAAATTCAAAGATTTTAAAAAATAAATGAATACATAGATGAAGCTATAACCGGTATTGAACACGAAACAATGATTTTTTTCTGCTCGTCTCCTCTCAATAAAAAAATAAAAATTTGCATTCCACTATTGAAAATTTTATCATTTACATCCACGTATCAAACCCTTTTTACGCCCAGAGCGGAAAGCATACTACAGACAGAGATGAACTAAAACGCGCCGTGAAATTATTGTGTGCGCGGGGTAACGGGCGACGTGGCGACAGGGCGCGGGCGACGGGTGCGGCGACGGGGCGACAGGCGACGGGCGACGGGACACGGCGAGGGGCGCGGGCCACGGGTGCGACGGCGGCAGGGCGACGGGCGCGGGCGCGACGACGGGCGGCGGCGCGGGCGACGGGCGACGGGCCGGCGGGGCGACGGGCACGCGTGGGGGGCGGCGGGGGCGCGGGCACGGTGCGACGGAGCGACGGGCGACGGCGACGGGCAACCGGGGGCGACGTGCGACGGGCGCGACGGAGCGACGAGGCACGGGGCGACGGGGCGAACAGGGGCACGGCGACGGAGCGACGGAGCGACGGGGCAGCGGGGCGGCGGGGCGCGAACGTGCGACAGCGGGCGGAGGCGGGCGGCGGTGGCGTCGCGAGCGGACGTAAATGTCAGCCTCTGGGGGAGCCATGCAACGAGCGACTTGTTCTCCGCGGCCCGCTGGCGCGATCGATCGGCCGCCGTCTGCCCGCCGCCCTTCGGCAGGGATTCTTCCAGACGACACGTGCCGCCCGTCCCTCTTGCCCACATTCCAAGACTCGAGGGCTCTTATGCACGTCTGCTGCTGCGCTCAACACCAAATGAACCGGAAGCTTCCAAAAGGCCACAGTTCCCTCAGCTGATCGGTTCACATTCGTTGTTGGCTTCGACTGACAGATTGATGTGGCCGGCCGGGTCAGTTGCTGTGGTCATTGGTCCCGTTAGAGTAGTGAATGCTTGAGGCCTGGAAGTGGCGGTGTTTCTTCCACCGCTGATTGGAGGGACCTGTACGTCGCCTTGCGGCGTGTTCCTCCTCCAGATATCTTTTCCCAAAGAGACACCGCCACTGCCGGAAGAAGCTTCTAGATCCTGACAGGTCTCCCGACGAGTGTGGTACTGAAATGCATTTTTGTACGAGTGTACGAATTTGTGTACAAGTAAAGGAGAGGATAGGGAAAGGGAGGGGAACGATTTTGAGTTTCTGAATATACTAGAAAAATGTTATTAGATCTAAACTTGAACCAATTTTTACATCAAGAGGGTGTTGACTTCGAAGGGCGCGTGCGCTATTCGCGTTATGATCTCGCTCGACGTGAATGCAAGCAGGAGCGAATCCAGAGCCAAATTTTGGGACGGGGAATTCAAAATGTTTTGGTCGAATGTGTCATGTTAAAGATTTTGTAAAAAGTCGTAGGCTACACTCAAATCATGCTGCGATACGATTTCATTCGTTTTAATGATTCTCCGAAAACATTTTTGCTTGAAAGTTTCGAGACAAGTTAAAATTAATTGTTACTGAAAAATATTTTAAGGGGGGGGGGGATTTCCCTCATTTCCCTCCCCGTGGATCCGCGCCTGATGTAAAGGACTAACACTTTTGACTAAAAATTTTTCGGGGGACTTAGACAGTCCTGTTGTAGATGTTAACTCGTGCAGGCAAAAATCTGACGAAACACGACACAATCCACGAAAACAATGCGAATGCCACACGGCAACAGTTGAAACTACCATTAGTAACTGGAAAAGTTTTAACTTGAACCGACCATAGTGATATTCATCACAGCTTAAATTGCTGCAATTAATACACACTTTAATATACATTTCCCCGTTAGTGTGCGAATGAAATTCTACAATATTTGCTGTCATGAACACGTTCACACAGGACGATTTCCACTGGAATTTAAATGAAATGCACCTATTCAATTTTAATGACATAGACAAGACCTAACACCATAATTGACAACAATAGAACTTTGCCACAAAGCATGATAATGTACGTAGTTCACTAACGGGAGCACAACCGACAGGGATTACATCGTGACTGTATTTTACGTCTGCTTGTTGCCGGCGCGAATGCTTGGAAAGTGAAGGGTACTAGGACCGTGTTCTTGGACCAATAGAAATGGTTAGTTGGAATGTTTGCAAAATAATTCTGGGGCCACTCAGAGTGGGCATCGAGGTTCTCGCCCGAATGCGCTGCGCCCACGGGCACGTGGTCCTGTGGTGTGTGCGTCCGGAGCGTGTTGCTAGGGAGACCCTTTCAAAGGGCAAATCGGATGACCCCCGCTTCTTGCGACACGCTTGCAGGCAGAGATGTGCGCCATTTCCAACATCGAAAGATATGGGGCGTTTGCATTGGGATGTAATAAAACTTATATACAAGTATGAAATTCACGCTAAAATTCTCTCGCTAGGAATACAGACTGACATGTTGTATAAGATACGGTACAGAGCTAACAGTACAGGACGTGTAATAACTTGTTTTTGACTGGGAGCAAATAATGATAATGATTATTATTCTGTTAAAGTTTTAGTTTTTTTATCTTGCCTTTTCTTGTTCTACCTCTAATCCTTTTATTCTAGTTCTTCTAGGGCTTCATATCCTCCAACGGAATATTTACGACACTTGACTTCCTGTTCAAGTATTAAATGATGAATCACAATTTAAACGGTTATCACCGAACGCTGTGATTTGCTTCTATCACCGTAGTCGGAACAATTAATTGAAGCAGGATATTAATAATGTGAACAGCTAACATTAAGTGACCGCTGGCACAACAAGTGGCAGCCGCTAGGTGCCCTTCCGAATGTGGTCCGGACCTACGATCGCCAAACGTGACATCAAGTTTTAAACAATCTTTAAACTGTCATTTTCTTTTGTTTCCTTATACATATTGATTGATCTGTATGCCAAAATGAACACCTAATGAAGCATCTTTAAGATCTTTCAAATGATTTTAACGTCATTCGCAATATCTTGCTCTCAAAATGCTCAAGTACCTGAAAATGCCAATTAACATCCAGAAGACGCTCCAGTCGCTCTGTAAAGACTCCCATCTCTAAATTGCTGACCCTCCACACGCGGACGCGAACTCCGAACCCTCGCTCGGAGGACACCCTCATCCCACCCACCTGTGTTCCACAAGTCGGCATATTGATTTCAAAATAATAAATATTTATAATTCTCCTTAAATAATAATATATTATTGTAAATTTAATCGTTGTATATTCTCTTTTACAGATGTCATTACCAGAAAAACTTGGCATGTACTACTTTTTCTGTTTTCATCGTTTACGATGGTGAGTTATCCTTTTTGAAATGCACATAAACCTTATTTAAAGTATTTCTGAAATTGGTAGTGTGTTGTACTAACTAGATAGTGTGATAAGTAGTGTTTATTTTGTTCCTTGCTGGACTATTTTTCTCCGAGGAAACGAGCCCCCAATTAATCTAACTTGAGGAGATAAATTACTCCGAGAGAACGAAGAGAAACGCCTTCTGAAGTTCTGCCTATTGGAGCGAAGCCGCCGAAACAATTTCCGTGCGGCAAAACGCCGACTTCCTCCCAGCCACTGAGCGGCTGCCACGGCGACTGAGGAGGGGGCGGGGTCGAGAGCAAGAGCAACGGAGGGGCGGGGGCGACGGCGAGGACGGAGGGAAGGGTGAGAGCGAGGGCGG